TTGTGTGTGTTTTTCGTGTGTGTGTGTGTGTGTGTGTGTGTGTGTGTGTGTGTGTGTGTGTGTGTTGAGTTTTACAGCTCCCCATTGGCAGAATGAAACCAACACTTTGCTTCCATTTTTGGGTGTTTTTCTTTGTGGCCGAGCGCTGTTCTCATCTGCAAATCCGTCTCTCGTTTCTCCTGATGTGTTTCCCTGCTGCTCTTCATTTCACTGGGAGAATGTTGTGCGTTTCTGTTTCTGTAAAATAAAGCCAAACACACACGCTGAAAGACATTAAGCTTTTATTTTTCCACTATTGGACTATTCGGTGTAATTTCAGTGTCTTATTACATTTTGTCTTATGAGTATTTTGGGTTATTCTCAACTTTGTGTGTAATCATTAGCAAGACAGATTATTTCATACATAAGCAGTGAACATTAAACTAAAATGACTTTAATGCAGTTAGTTCTGTTGCTGTGTGAATCGTGTAGCAGTCATATTCCTGAATTAGTTTAGACATGCACTTATTTTGTTTACTGCAGTTTTTAGTTAGTTCCTCTAAATGTTTGCTTCTCTGTCATTTCTGCTTTTCAGGACACTCTCACTTCTGTGCTTTATAAGACAGATTCAGTTTCAAACTGAACAATGAATTAGATTTTTATATTTACTGAAAATGTGTTGTTTACGTGAGGGTGTTGCTAAGTGGTTGCTAAGGAGTTCTGAGAGGTTTAGGCTTATAGCACATTTAAGACAATTTTTTATACTTTTTTTTTTTATTTATATATATATATATATATATATATATTTGAATAGAAAACAGTTATTTTAAATTGTAATAATATTTCACAATTTAGCATGATTCCAAACTGCTTCTATGCAGTTGCCAAGGTGTTGCAAGGATGTTTAGGCTGTTGCTGTGCAGTTGCTAGGGTGTTCTGGGTGTTTTAGGTGGTTGCTGTGAAGTTGCTGGAGTGTTTTAGTCAGTTGATATGCAGTTACTAGGGTGTTCTCTGGCAGCTGCCTTAAGAAGTTGCTAGGGTGTTCTGATTTTTATGTTTTTAAATGTTTTTTTAATGTTAGGGTGTTTGTAATGTTTTTAGGCTGTTGCTATGCAGTTAGGGTGTTCTGAGTGATTTAGGCAGTTGCTAGGGTGTTATTAATGTTTTTAGGCTGTTGCTATGTAGTTGCAAGGATGTTCTGAGTGTTTTAGGTAGTTACTATGCAGTTGCTAAGGTCTTCTGGATGTTTTAGGCTGTTGCTAATGTGTTCTGAGTGGCTGTTGCCAAGCAGTTACTAAGGGGTTGCAAGTATTATTTCAAAGTCTGGGATTTTGTTCTGCTGTTTTCTGGTCCAGCAGGTGAAAATGGTGCATTTGATCACTTTATAAACAGCACGCATGATCTGAGCAATCATTCAGGTCTGAGCTCAAACACTTAAGCACACTTTGTGCTAGCACTAGTACTAGTGATGATGATTGACTCTGTATGTAACTAAACCACACTGACTCAAATTAATGTCTCATTTTGTCTCTTTCTCTCTGTCTGTAGCCCAGCGTGTTGATCGTCAGTTATATCGAGTCTGGGAAAGCGGCAGCACAGTTCGGCTTCTATCAGCAGGTGGAATGGAAGCCCGATGACTCCATGATCGCAGTGGCGGTGAGTAAAACATTTCTGTCTCTCATGTGAGTGCGGTTAATGAGGAGGTGACCCATCTGTTATGTAGCGAGAACTTGTGCCATCCAGCAGGTGCCACCATGATGCCAAACTGTTGCTATGCAGTTGATAAGGTGATGCAAATGTTTTTAGGCTATTGCTATGCAGTTGCTAGGGTGTTATGTGTGTTTTAGGCTGTTGCTATGTAGTTGCTAGGGTGTACTGGGTGTTTTTGGCCATTGCTATTGTAGGAAACTTTTTCCTCGTCGAAGCAGAGACCAGGAGACTCTTGGGTATCTTCAGCAGAGTTCTTTATTGAGAACGCGCTGCGTGGCGCTGCAGTCATCAAAAGTCTGACTAAGGCAGTAATACATTGTAGTTTATATACATTTTAAGGGGGCAGGATACATTCAGTAGAGGTGGAGACAATCTAACCCATAGCATGCAAATGAAGTACAGGCAATCAGCCCGACACCGGCATTTTCCCAGCCTTGATCTCATCAGCATAACAGTGTCATTCAAATGCATAGGTGCTAATCCAATCAGGCTGACAGTCCTAATCCAATCAGTATAACTACTCAGAGACTGGGGCAGAGGCACCAAGAGCCATTACAAACAAAAGGTGATCGTCTCAGTAATCTGGTTCATTTGACTAACAATAGGAGAACAGGAACAGACAGGAGCCTCTTGCTACACTTTGCTTAAGATAATCATTTGTCTGATGTAATTTACCTTAAATGCTAAATACAATGTACTTCACCTTAGTTTTTCATGTGATGCTATGTCAGAACATAGGATCAGCATATTTTAAACAGATTCTTAAATTTGTAATCCCACACTATGCAGTTACTAGGGTGTTCTGAGTGTCTTAGGCTGTTGCTAGGTAGTTGCTAGGGTGTTCTAGGTGTTTTAGGTGGTTGCTATGCAGTTGCTAGGGTGTTCTGAGTGATTTAGTCCTTCAGTCTTTCCAACTAGTCCCTCAGAAAAGTCATGTAGCTGACTTTCAAAATATGTAGTTTTACACGCCTCTAGTCTTGTGTGTGGAGTTTGATCGATTGATTGTAACCACGTTTCTTAAACCACAAATGTTCCCTGAAAGTTCTCCATGCTGGCAGAATAGCATTAATCTCAGCGCTTAACAGGCCTAGCGAGTCGCCCACATTAGTGGTATTTTAAGGCATTATGGGTGAGGGCTGTTCCAGAAGTTAGGCATAATTACTCTAATCACACGTGTCCTTCACAGACGAGACGATTGTTGAAATGTTAATGTGTCCGTCACTGCATATAGTGAACAAAACAAGCGCTGCCGTTTCTCTTTTGTTTGGCTGATAATTGCTGTCATTCTGCTGTATGAATGCAGACACACAGACGGAGACGAGGAGAGACGGCTCCACGTTTGACTCTTTGCATGCTCACGTCTGTCAGTCACGTTCATTACAGTACGGTACTGTGATTAGATTTCCTTTTATTGATCCATCACAGCGTCCTCTAAAATCTGGAAGCCCTTTCTGGATTTGGCTGATTAACCCTTTCCACCATCTGAACAGTTTGTTACGTAGAAATTAGTTTGTACTTGGTGCATTTACATTTTTATGTTTATTTATTTATTTTATTATTGTTATTTTGTGCATTAAAATATACATTTAAATAAACTAATTATTTCAGTTATTTTTATATTGTTTAGTTTTAAACTTAACTCCCCTTTATAAAAAAATATTTATTTATATTTACATTTGTATTTTATTTATCTTAATTTATTTTAATTTATCTCAATGTATTGTAATTTGTCTGTTTTTTTAATAATGATTATTTCAGTTTTTATTTTTATTAAAAAAGTTACTTCGATGTATTTATTTATATTTATTTTAATTTGTTGTAATTTAATTCATTTTAATTGTAATTTATTTTGATTTATTCTAGTTAGTTTGTAAATAAACGGATTATTTAATTTTTAAATTCTGTTTCTGTTTTTAATGTCCTCCCTTTTTAATTTCCTCCCATTTATTTATTTAAATTTTTATTTTAAATTAATTTTTATTTTAGTTTTTGCACCCCTTGTATGTATCATAAAAATGAAAAAACAAAAACAACACATAACTGGGTCTTTAAGAGGTCGTTTCTTAAGTTCCTTTGCACTGTTTTTAAATATTTTAATGCACATACATGTAAAATAGATGTTTTTGGCCATTGTCTCTCAGATTTTTCAGCATCTTGCGCCATAAGCACCATATTTAAGATGCTTAGTTTTTAGTATGTGTCCTGAGACTGTATTTGTTGTTGTGTGTCCGGCTCACACGGGTCTGGTTCTGTCCATCAGATGTGGTCAGAATCGTCATGCGTGTTCAGACACCAGATCTCCGTGTTTCCACTGCTGGACGTCACAGCGGTGCAGAATTACAGCAAAACCTCACAGCGCCGCTCTTCTGTGTCTGAATCAACAGTCAGTGTTTAGTCTTGACAGCAGTCGTTCTGGCTCATCAGGAAATAACAGATGACAGCCGGTTATTGGCTTCATGCAGGTTTAACTAGTCGACTGACAGTGTTTGATTCTCCAACCTGCAGGTTCATTTACATGAGGCACTGATGAAGATGACATTAACACGGATCTGCTGCTTCTAAATGCCACGAATATAACTCACGCTCACAATACAGCCTCAGCAGACTAGACATTTAAATATTCATTATGCATTAGTAGTGTACTGTACAATAATAGACGTCCTGTTTATAATTATAGTTCAAAAGAAATCATAATCCTGTAATTAAGGGGTTTAACACTGATTTTGTTATCCAGGGTAGTGAATATTCCAGAAAGAGTCCCTCACCGTCTCTCTTTGCTGTTTATACTGTAAATGAGAGCCCAGAGGATCATGGGATATCTGGGTTTACTAAATGAATCTGAAGCCGTTATTCCTTTTTATGAATCCTGTCAAGAATGTGTTCCAGATCACTTTTCACCCAATATTAAAAGATAAAAGTAAGAAACGGCATAAAGAAATAGTAATTTCTGGTTTTTGACATTTAATCACATTTTCATACAAAACTGTTTTTAGTTTAATGCAGAAAAATCACATATAATCATATCAAGCCACATTACGCACACATTTTAAAGATTTTTTTTATATCATCATCTTCATCTTCATATATATATAGTTTTTTTTTTAGAGATGCACCGATTGCAATTTTCTTAGCTGATTCCGATTTCCGATTTTTCGTTAGTGTGATCTGCCGGTACTGGTTTTTGCCGATTCCGATTTTCTTTCTAAGAACGATAATTGACAGCATATTGCGCCACGGACCCAATATACTGTTACACAACATGCATTCTCTTTCTCAACTATTTAACGTTCCAAAACTGACTGTTTAACTGGATACTCGCCAAAACTGGCATTTTGACAATTTTGTATGCATTTGAATGTTTTACTGCAGTTAGCCACTCATTTTGGTATTTGTGGCTCACAAGCTGTTTGAGACTGAGCGCGGCTTGTGTGCGCTCCACTAATATAGATCAGTGGTGGTGCGCGTGCTTTTGGTGTAAGCGTGAAACCTGCGGGAATGACTATAATGCGCAATACAAGCACTATTTAACCGGAGCAAATGAGACGTGTGTGAGAGAGAAGGGGTCGTCGGAGAGAAGAGAGCGAGAATACGCGGCTGATATTATTGCCTGTGCCGCTGGTAACAAAACGATCCGGGCCGATCATGAGAAAAATCGTCCGATTCCGATCCCTGGCCGATCGATCGGTGCATCTCTAGTTTTTTTGTTTTTTAGTTGATATATAATTAGTTTTTCTTTTTCTTTTGGTGGTGAAATATGACCTGGACAGCAGGTTTCTGCACAGCTCCTTGCGTGTGAGTTTAACTCTCAGACTCTAGCCAGTGTTTGGTGAGTGAAGCTGTAGGTGAAACAGTACACGCGCTTTCTTTGATGTGCTCATAAAATCATGTCCTGAGCTGATCTGGTGAACGGGAGACTGTAACTCTGATGATTCACTCTCTGAGACTGGTGTCTCGTGAAAATCTCCGAGCAGAACGACGAGTACAGACGTTTACAGAGCGAAGGCAGATACCGGCTCGCTTTGGGATGTTTAGTCTGTTCTCCGACACACCAGACGCCTCCACACAGCCTGTGAGCTTCTGTCGCTCCGCGCCGCACGCAGCTAATCGATGGAGCATCATGGGTAATATTGGCGTTCCCAGGAGTTCAGTGATTGGCTGGAGCTTCAGTGAACTTCAAAACTTCCCAGAAACAGAGCTGTGTGGGCTGCAAGTGATAAAACCTGTATGAAGATTCCCACAGTCCTGCAGATGGAGCTGAAAATAATCCATGGCTTTCTCACTCTGCCTGCAGCGACTTCATCTGCTGTCTAGTCTAGTCTAGTCTAGTCTGTACAATGAAAGTCAGTGGTGTGGTATCTGCTGTCTAGTTCTAGTCGAGTCTATTCTGTATCTGTGCTGGACAGTTTGTGTTAGTGATTTTGGACTTGTTTTGAGCTGAAGTTTTGTTCAGTGACAGTTGAATCAGATAAGTGTTGTTTTGGTTGATGATGTGCTCCGTCCCATCGGTCAGATCTGAGGACTCTTGTTTGGTTCCTGCAGGGGAAAGAGGCATCGCTGTGATGACAATCTGACCTAACGACACGCTTAAATCAAACCTGTGTTTCTGCCGTCTGGATTATTTACAGCAGTTATTTCTGGGACTGAAACACACGCATTTGATTGTGAAACGAGTCTGACAGTAAACAGTGCAATAGCTGGAATGTAAAACTTGTAATGCCGTGTTTCTGTATTTATTTGTGTTTTTGACTCATTTGTCAGATTGGAGTTTGTTTGCAAACGGCCTCGTTACAGGGCCGAAACACATCAGCAGCTCTGTGTTAAGAGAGGAAGTCAGAATCATGCAGCGGCTTGATGACGAATGTAAATCTACTGCTAGTGTGCTGCTCAAATCTGAGCTGGTTCATTCTCACCACATCAACAGCCTGAGAATGGCTGACTTGAGCCTT